TTTTTCCACTTTCTGGAACCACCACTTGCGCAGTAACATCGTACGCATTCGGTGGGAGAGTCTCTGAGAGTTGCTGTGATGACGCTCGGCTCAAACAGTGTATCCCCCTATCTTTGTACACTCATCGACTGTATCAAGTTTCACTCATAGAAAACATGAACCCCCTAATAACTTTTAAAAAATGGAGCTGCACAGAAAAAAAGAGGACTTGAGCACAAACCAGTCTTACAATAACTACATGTCAACATTACAAGCAGGGGGGAGAAAAATGTATTCTCTGTGTAATCATTTAAAAAAATTATATTCTGTGTAATACATTACTAAAGTTTGTCCACAGCTCCATAGGGATGGCTGGAAGAGGTGGGATTTATGACATACTGCAGCCCGGCACTAGAGGGTGCTGTTCTGGGGTTGCTTCACTTAGCAAGGAGGCAGATAGTGTCCATTCTGTGTACAGTCTATGCACCTAACATACAGAAACCTGCACAGTGGTCAGTTTCTACAAGTGTTTATGGACACATTATAATCAGAGGTTGTGGGCACAGCACGAGGCATTGCATGTCATACTCAATTGTAACTATCGTGCACATTGTTCAAACAGTTGTTCATCCCTGCTTCTATCGTCTCCCTCCTCCCGAATATTTGGTTTCATGCTCTTTGCAGCCACTCGTATGGTTATCCAGGTGGCGTTGCCCAACGGAGAGTGCCTCACTTTCACTGATAGCATGTATGTGTCAGTAACTGGTCTTTTAGCAATTACAGAGCATTTGATTTCAAGAGCAGGGTTTTGCAGGAACAGAAAAAGCATTAAAAGACCAGACTCCAAAAATCACCACACTATCACTGTGTTCTGTTTCAGAAATAACAGTGGTTCTCTGCTTGTCCCTGCATGCCCTCTTTTCAAGCTGACCTTTAAAGCTAAAACACTGACACCATGTTCAACTGAACGCCATACTCCAGCTCAACCTTCTGATGCCAAAATAAACAAAGGCTTTTTGTCAGCGAGCACTCTCCTTTCCAGAGCTACAAACCTGCTGAAACAAACTTGGGCTTTTCAAACAGTATCCTATCACGCACTTAAACACTCATGCAAGTTATTCAGAACAAACAGATCCAATATTTGAAGAGAGCAAATGCTTCCTCTTGATAACATATTCCAAAAGCATAGCAAGTGTCATTAAGGCATTTTAGAGGGTGAGTGGAAACAGAGGCTAATCTTTAATGTGGAAATTAATCTTTCCATCTGCTCTGTGGGGGAGCGACTATGATCAAACACTCCTCAGCCCTCTTCATTCCCCTCACAATAATCTGCTGGTGACATATCTGAACACCAAAGAGGACAAACTGAAATAAAATCCTAATAAAGCGATCAAACTAAAACATAACTAGGCCCAATTTCCACTTATGTCCATCTTGTTTTTTGGCCAATTAGTTTGGAATATTTTACGTTACTTATCCTAACTTACTACTGGTTCTTCATTAGTTTTTATAGAGTTGATTTAAAGGTTAACCCCAAACCAGTGCGTCCCAAGATGCTTTTCAAAGAACAAGACCAGGGGCCTCATGTATCAACACATGCGTGGAACTCATACCAGAAACGAGCGCACGCAAGGTCCGTCACTCTGAAAAAAATCTGTATGTATCAATGTGTGCGGGTGCCGAAATCCACGTGTGTTTCCTTGATAAATCCCAATCAGCGTGGAATTGAGCGCAGATGTCGGAGTGACTGGGCCCGTCCCCGTTACGCCCTCCTATGAATATGCAGATTTATTTAAATAGGGTCTCCCTGTCCTCGCACGCAGACAAAATGACAAGAAAAACTAAATTTACGGCGTGCGAGGTGGAGGTGCTGGTGGCGGAGGTGGAGGAGCGACAGCGTGTTTTGTTTGGCAGCCTGTCCAGTGGCGTCAGTGCAAAACAAAAACGCTTGGAGTGGGAGAAAGTTTGTCAGAGGGTGAATGCGGTGGGTTCCGAGACACGCACCCCCGCGGAGATTAAAAAAAAGTGGTCGGACCTCAAGGTGGAGGTCAAGCGGCGTACAGCTGCCCTCCGGAAGAGTACTGGCCAGACAGGTGGGGGTCCGGGGGAGGAGGCCCTCACACCGTTTGAGCAGTGGGTGGTGGCGATTATTATTATAGGGTAAGTGGCGTGTCACAATAATGTCCACATGCTTTGTCATCCCACTGAGTAAAAGACGTATATTAGACGTCTAGTCTAAGTTTATACTTCATTTCAATGTCGGGATTCAGTCTATTTTTAGACACGATTTATACTTCGCCCTTAACTTCATTTTTCGATAACTTTTTATGCAATAAACAACTGTAATGTGCATAACTGACCTCGAAATACTGGATTACATTACCTATGATACCGTGGAGAGAGATGTAAATGCAACAGATACACAGAAGCAGGAATTGAAATGAACAAATATTTTTATTGTGTCACAGAAATCAATGTGTCGGCCGTGTCGCCGGCTTGTGGAACCCCGGCCTGCGGCAGCCCATCCGCCGGCTCGGAGTCATCGGCCAAGACCAGCGGCATTCGGGCCACCCCGGCCCCCGGCCCCAGCACCAGCACCAGCATCAGCACCAGCGCGCCGACAAGCGGTGGAGCGTCCACCGGCCGCGGCGCTTCCGCTGGACCACCCGGACGCAGTGGAAGGGTCCTCGCGGAGGGGGTCCTGCAATCGCAGGAAGAAATCATCAGGGGGATCACGGGAACAACGAGCGGCTGGACCGGCTCGTAAATGTCCTCGAGCGTCTGGTGGAGAAAATAAATTAATTTGGCTCATTGAACTGTGTATTCACTTCTTACCCATTCACACTGTGGCGATGAGATTCTCCCGCGCGAGGACGGCGGCCCGGCAGGGATCAGCTCGCATCCCTCCGTCTGCTGCTGGTTCGTCATGTGGGGCGACGTGCTGCTCGGCCACGGGGATGTGGTGCACGCTTGTCACATAGTGAGTCACCAAACACCGCCACACAGCGTCGCCAAAGTGCGAATCACAGTCAACGCAAATATCAGCTCAACGCCAATTTCTACACCACCTCCTGGCTTTGCGTTGATTAGCGCTGGAACCGACGCTCGTTTCGCGATGATAAATCTGGACGTGTGCGCCGATTTTGGCGTACGCAAGGTTTTCTTGCGCCGCAAGCGTTGATACATGAGGCCCCAGGTCTAGACCACGTTCATTGTTTGATGAATTATCAAGAACCAACCTGAGACTGTAACCCACTTGCATCTTCATCATTTGACAGAAGTAGCAAAGGTAGTTAGTAGTCACAACTTAATTATCAAAACAAAGTTTAAGGCTCACTTTTAAAGCTTTAATTGATGAGCTCATTTAACTGAAAACGTTTTAGAAACATCCAATCAGGCTTCAGAACTAACCACTAACCAGAGACAGCCCTACTCAAGGTTATAAATGATGTTTGAATGACTTCTGATGAGATTTTGAGATGAAAACAATGTTGAAGTATTTCTTCTTTTAGATCGAACATTTGATTTCAATCAACAAACTTAAGAAGTTTGAGGGTGTTTCCGATTGTGCTTTAGTCTGGTTCAGTTCTTGTTTTTTTAACAGGCAGTTTTTCGTATACCTGGGTTCTTGTGTGTCAAAAACACATATTTTCATTATGGGGTTCCTCAAGGAAGTATTCTTGGATCTATTTGATTCTCACTGTGCATGCGTCCACAGATGACACATTATTGCTAATTATCATGTTTATTCCCATTTATATGCAGATGACATTACTGTTTTACCACACGTCCAAAATGCACTGCATACCCTCACTGCTTGCCCTCCAGATATTTATGTAAGGATGAGCAAAAACTTTTAAAAACTGAACAGAGATAAAAACAGAAATTATTTTAATAGGTGCCAAAGCAGCCAGAGAAGAGCCCCAGACTTTGCTGGGAAGTTTCGACTGGCAAACCAAATCAAACATTACCAACCTGGGAGTGATTATTAGATTTAAATTTAAATTTTATTCCCCTTTTTAACAAGGTCATGAGCGCTTCTTTTTATCATCTCAGGAACATTGCAAAAGTCAGATCTTTTTATCCCTGAAAAAGGCCAAAATTTAAATTCATACCTTTATCACATGTCATCTAGATTAATGTGAATCTTTTTTATGCTGGTTTAGCCAAAAAGTCTCTCAGAAAACTTCAGCTCATTCACTGCTGCCAGAGTTTTAACACACAAAAACAAAACCGATCACATCGCCCCCTTCTTAAAACTCTGCACTGGCTCCCAGTTTCCTTTAGAATTGATCTTAAAGTTATTTTAATTGTTTTTAAAGCTTTGCACAACCTTGCTCCTCCATAAATTACAGATCTTCTGTCATTTCATGCTCCAGTGAGGTCTCTAAGGTCCTCGAATGCTTCCCTTTTAAATGCTCCTCATGTATCTCACACAGACCAGAGAGAAAGCGTTCTGTTTCGATGCTTCTAAACTCTGGAGCTCTCTACCTCTGGATGAAAAAGCTGCATGCTTTCCTGTGTTTTTGGATGTAAACTAATAATCCACTTTTTTAATCTGGCTTTTAACTCATTGATGTTATACCTCTTTTTAGCCATGGACTGCATTGTTACTATTATTACCATTAATGTAATATCACATTATTTGTAATAATTAATTTTTATCTAGCATTTATGTATTTATTTATGGACTTCATATTATTGTAAAGTAGCTAGTTGTAAGTCCAATACTTACTTTCTTTATGCTGAACAGATTTCCTTTGGCTCACACAGCATGCGTCAGTACTTAGCATTTCCATTTGCTTCACTGCATGGCTCAGACTTGTTTCCTTCTCTTTCTGTGCACTTCACAGCAGGTCTCATGTCTGACATCTGACAGTCTTACGTCAACTGGCCAAAAAAAACCCCTCTGCCTGTCCTGAACGTCACTGTTGTAATCATAACCTGGACTTCACAGCATTTTACACTGGATGAAAATATCGTAGACATTTTTATAATTAACTTTTGAATATGAATTATGTCCCTAGCCAACCTCCTGCTGATAATCTGACTTCACATTTCCTGCTGCTCAATACAAGAGCCCACTGAGTGTTCATCTTTTCTCCCTCCTGGTAGAGGGATAGTGTTGAGTCAACATTGAATCTTATGATTTCCTGCGTCATGTCACTCTCCCGAGGTACCAGGTGTTTCATGAATCCTACAAGATACTTCAGTTGATTCTCTGCATCCAAATAGCCCCTTATTACAGGATCGATAGAGGACGAGGCTCGCAGGGTTTTACCCTCAAGTGGCAATCTCACCAGCGTGTACTTGCCACGGGCTACACTGGCCTTTGCCACCCTCTTCAGGAAATCTTGATGACCTGAAACACATCAAACACAGAAAAGGCACTTTTGCTTTTCATTAAGATTTCATGGATGCAGCACAGAAGTAGGATTACCAATTCTAGAGCTGTACTTGTCAACAGTGTCATATAAGGTCGGCCTCACAAGTATTGCAGTAACACGTGTACCCTATATGTGGTGGGAATGGATGAATCCTAATGTATTAATGCAAATGCTAATCAAGGGCTTAATTCAAGAGGTGCTTCAGTGTGAGGAACAAACACCTTTCTGACTGGATTTAACCAGACATTGTCCTTGTCCTCAATGAGAGGTACCAACTCAGGCTGGACAGTGTGCTATTTTCAGTACCATGTTCTGTATTATGTTCTGCTGCAACGGGACTTTTGGAACCAAAATCCTGAGTTGTTATGCAAGTTGTTTCTATCTTACAACCATGTCAAGAAATTTCTAAATTTGGTTGGCTAGTCAATATTTCTGCCTTGTTTAGCCCTTAAAATTGAACTGCTTAAAATCAGTCTATCTACTAAGACTTTAACTTTGATAACAGCTAATCACTTTACTTTGACGTAATAAACTGAAGCTGACGTCCAACGTTGAAACCTTTGAGTAACCTACAAAGGTCAAATACATCAGGGGTCCCCTCTATAGTCTTGTAGTGTTGTGCTTTGGCCTTTCATAGATCAGCCTAATGAATTGTGGGTAGAGCCGGCCAATTAATCAGATCATAGAGATATAATGGCCCTCATTTATGAAATAAGCGTACGGCTGAAAACTGTCCGTACGACCATTACCACACAAGGATTGGCATTTATTAATTGGAACGTGAGCGTACGATACGATCAAATCTCACGACAGGTCTCACATTGTGTACGCAAGTTTCAGTAAGTGCAGATTTGCGGTGCAGCAAATGTCTGTCTCAAAATAATTGATAAACAAACCTCAAACCTGTCATTAAGCACAATCAGACAGATTTCATTAAAGATTAAGATGTAAATAAAATAGAATAAATTTGTTATGTCCTTAGTGGATAAGCCTATTTGATAACTCTGCCCAGAAACACTGCCACAGAGCAGGAGGGCCGTTTTAACATTGTGCACACACGCACACGTGCCACTGTGGAGCGCTGCGTTTGACAAGGGCGTGTGTCCTATCATACGACGAATCCTGCACTCAGATCTGCACTCAGTTCTATGCAAGATTAAAAAATGAGGGTCAATGATTGAGCAAAGACTAAATAGTATTGTGCTGTTGGCCATGTTTGCCCCATTTACGTACTATACATTGATTGAGGCACACCCTCTCACTTTCACTTCACTTCCTAAACAGCTCGGATCAACGTGAAATAAAGTTTGGGAGCAGCTCTTGCAAAGATTAATGGTGGCACGCTTTATCTTGACCATCTTGTGCAACAGTGATAAAAACTATCAGGCAGCCACAGGTGGAGATTGGAGAGCAGAGTGAGGAGCAGGAGGAGGACTGTTTCTAATTCTTATATCCAGTTACAGACATGGTTCAGAGAAAAGGTCGAATGAGTAATTTTTTTTCCCACTATTTGAAAGAATTAAAAGTTTTTTGGTTTCAAAAGATTTTAAGTAAGCTCAATTACTGGTAATTGTTTTTAATTACTTTGATATTTGTTCGATGGCAGCCGTAAATGAAGGTTTGTGTTAGGCTGTCACTTTTGTGAAGGACTGTCAATAGGATGAGGTAGATGGCTGGATCAGGATTAAGGATTTGACTATGTACTGTGAGGTGTCGGTAAGGACACGGCAGGCAGGTATGCATTTGACGACGTTTATTCAAGGTCCTGATAAGCACAGAGTACAGGTAGGTATGTATGGTTGCTGAAACAGAATAATAACAGGAAGAGATGTCAGGAATTTGTAAACTGATTTATAATTACCAATATTTGATACATAACATGTATAACACACATAAGCCATGGTGAAAGAGAGAAATTATAATTTAGGCCAAATAACATAAATATATGCAAATTATCCATCAAATGATAATGCAATTCCACTTACATTCTTCATGAACATACAGGCTTCTGACTATCAGGTTGAGTGTCAAACTGACTCCAATAGACAACATGTGGGATTAGGCCCCTCAATAGCTGACTAAACTATGCCTGAGTAGAAAAACGGAAACATTTCTTAAAGGGACGGTGTTATGACTGGGGTCATAATTGGTTGAGTGTCTGCTGTGTGTGTGTGCTCTGTGTTTTTTTTGTGTCAATCTTGTATGCAAATAGGTGTGTGCCACAGCAACGCGGTCATTGGTGGGTTGGTCTACGTCCTGGATGGTGATTGGCTGAGACCAACTATATCAGGAACCAAGATGGCAGCCACCAGGTGCAGAGGCCAGGCATTCCTCATCCTCCTCCTCCTCCTCCTCCTCTCCCTACAGGCCACCCTATTTGCAGCTTTAGAACATGGTGTATTGTGTTGTGTTTTTCTTTAGTAGTAGGGGTGGACTGCCAGTTTTGTTAACATTATTTTCTCCTGTGTATTTTAGTTAGGGAGGTAAGTCTTTGTCATTTGTTTCCTTTGTTTGGTTAGGTTAGCATTACTCCACAGACAGGATCATTTTTGGTTGTTGTTTTGGCCTTAGTCCACCCTGAAGCCTAGTCATTCAGCCGTAGTTCTTTTGTCTATCTTTTGTTATTTACTGATTTATGTAAATAAATCTGTGTCTTTAAATTGAACTGAAATCTCGGTTGTTGTGGCTACTTGGGACTTGGGGATGATGAGGCCTTCTCATGTTGTGCCCTAGGCACCCCTAGACTGGGGCGTAACAGACGGTATCACAGGTAAACTGCAGGGCACTTTGCAAGATACTGCCGTGACGTAGTCACTCTTTCGTACAATTTTAAATAAGTTTTTTAAAGTAATATGAAACAAAATGTTTGTATATAATAAAGCCCCCACCTTTTCCCCATTAGCATGAAAATCACCATGAGTAAAATGCAACTGTGTGGTGAACATTACCGTTTTTTTGTGATCCAACTTATTTTGAATGAGTTTTTCAATCAAAGTTCTGTTTTCTTCCTCTGAAACTGACTCAACAAAAACAACCCTTTTTCATCATTCCCCTATGATTGAACAGGGTGAAAATATCTCCTCCCCAGCAGACATTTTGACATGTCGCAGCAGAAAAGCACAGGTGTAACTAACAGCATTAACAAGGCTGCATTCCATATGCATCTGCTTCTTTCAGGGCCGAGCCACAGGGCACACTGACTCACAGGGGTGGGATACAGAGGCTCCTAAATGGAACAGGCATTTTAAATGGTATTTTTCACACCTGCCATAATAAGTTTAAATGTCCAATGTCAGAAAAATCACAAAAATTATTGTAATTGTGGATGAGCCACAGCATTAACATCAAGTTAAATAAGCTTATTGTGATTCTGCCGTCTTAGCCAAGCCATTACAGCACAAATAAAACTTTTTCAAAACCTCCATCTGCTGATAATAAACATCCTAAAACAATCACACACCAACTCAAGCTTTTTAAATAATACTGAGAGATGTGAAGATCACTCACTGGACATTAAGCATGCCATGCAGTAGGTCAACCAGGATGCTGACGTGAAACATCTGAAAATGAGAAAAGTCTCACACATCAGAGCCACAAAAAACAAACAATTTGTGTTGTTGACAGCTGGGAAAGGTGGGAGAGTGGTAACACATTGCTGATGCTGTTGGACAGCACAGTGGCGAGACTGGACCTGCAGATGTTGAGAGGAGCTAAGAATAGCAGTGAGAACATAGAAGAGAGGAGGAGGGAGGATGGCTGAGGATGAGTGCATCATGTTTTGTGTATTTTTCTGTCCTAAAAGGTTTTTTGAAAGCGTTTGTGGACTATCTATGATAAACCTTTCATGTCCTTTATTTTGAAGAGGGAGACGAGTTTTCATTTCTCTTCGTTTTCAACCACTGAACTGCATTATGTCGGAACTGATGGCAGCGTTATTTTCTAAGCTTATAGTATTGGAACTAGAAATTTTTGGAAGCCCCGATTTTAATGGAAATTTAAAGAATAACCAATCCACTAGTCTAAAGGTTAAAAAAAAAAAAAACTGAGTCTAACGCCGCCAGGATTATGTAGTCTGCAAGAGTCACATTAGTTTACTGACTGTTATTAACATTAGCAGAGTGCTTTAACCAACCTACACATCAAATTATACCATTTGGTACACTGATCCTTGGTATGATTTCAGGATTAAACGAAGGGATATAGTTGTAAAAGTTTAGTTGCCCAGACAATACCATTGATTGCTCAGGCACTTCACCTGTACTTCATTATGAAGAACCAATGTCAACCTCTCTTCGGAAGTACAAAACTGTGTGCTTGACTTACTCGACCCTGCTTCATTAAAACTTAAAAAATGAAAAAGCACTTTTATACACTTTTATACCCTAAGAAATTCAAAACTTTTAAAAATATATGAAAAAGACAAACAAAAAGTAAACAAAAACAGATGAATCAAAATGATGCTTAAAGTTATTTCTCTATCGATAAGATCTATTTGGAAAGAGATGCAGTTCAGAAAAAAAATCTTTTGAAAAAATTTTACTATTGTCTTTGCAAATTTGTCAAGTAAAAACCTGACTTCCTCAGGAATATTTCACAATTGTAACAAACAACTTACTTAACCTAGAAGTACCAAAGGGTAGACATGTAGTTTACTACACTAATTCATACTTCATACATTTTGTAGCTTATTTCAGCACTAAAGCCACTTATTTGCACACATGTAACAAACAACTGTAAATACTCAGGCAGACTCTGAGTGACAAAATTAGCTGTAACCAGATCTGCACTGTATAGTCTTTGATAAAATATCTACATTCCAAACCAGAGTACTGTATCACTGACTCATGATGGATGGATGCAAATTTAATAGCGTATCAAAAAGCTAAATCTCTGAAGCAAGCCAGCAAAAGCAGCCCATTAAAACTACATAATAACTCCACAGCTTCATCACACACATGGAAGAGCATGGTCATATGTGCTGAGGTTCAGTCTCGGACAGTGACCACTTGAATAAAACCCTGACTATGACAATAATGACAATGCCCAAGTGATTAATATTAGTAGTCTTTATGTACAGAGGAATCATTTTCAGTCAGTCAAAGGTGTCCAGCTTTATGACTCGACTGCGCTGACTGATGGAGGAGTTAGGGCATTTGGTCACTTTTGAACACCGCAGCATAGTTACACTTACTCTCAGCAAAGTGAGAGGTGCTGAGTTCTTACCTTTATTTATTTGTATGGATTAACACTATTTAACTGAATGATATTATTAACTTTGGTTTCAAAGTATTCAGAACCTAGGACCCTCTGGACTTAGTAACCTTACATACTTACTTCCTCTTCTTATTTATTTATTTTTCTGTATCTATTTATTTATTCATTTATGGAACAATGCATATTAATGAACATAGGTATGTAAGATGTGCCAGAGAGTAGCCAGATGCTGAATTCCTTTAGGAGTTCCCAGCTGGTTGGTGGTAAACATGTAAATACATCATGTATATACAGCATGTACATCAAATAAAATACATTTCAAAGAGTGCAGAACCAGGCAGAGACCACACAACAGATAGACGTTTAAGAGAGTTACGCTACTTTACAAAGACCCACTTACAACGATACAGAGAGTAGCTGTAAAATTTACTCAAAAAAAAAAAGAAAAAACAGATCTACAAATTACGTTGAAGTTTGAGCTAAAGTACTGGTGGAAAACGAACCTTTTCTGCAAGCTTGTTGATTTAAAATGCAAAGTGCACACTGCCCCTTTTCATATTTGCATAAACAGACATTTGCATGTACTATTGCACAGGGATAGCATACTCATAATATGTAATATTGCACTAAAGCTGCAAACATGGAATAACATACAAACCTTAGTCAAATGCTTAGACATGGTATCAATCTGGGTTGTCTAAAGCCATGCTTTTAAGTGACCCTTAAAATAAGACTTCCTTAGCAGATTTCAAGAAAAAGAAAAATTGTGCCAGCTTTTTAAACCAGTAAGTCCAGAAATGATAATAACAATAATAATAATAATAATTGCATAACAAAACTAGCAGATGCTTACTGTAGGTTTTTAACAGAAAAATAAACTTTCCTCACCTTTGCTGTCAAATGTTGCAATTTTATGTCATACTGTGAAAGATTTTTACTAAAACCACTATCTTACTGCAGTTTTTAGTCTTAAATCAAAATCAACAGTTCAAGTTTAGCTTCTTATTAAAAATTAAGGTTTAAAAAATAGACAAACACTTTCTCATCCCTTTACTAAGCCAGTAAAACAGAAATACATCAATAATAGAATAAAATAAATCAGGCTTGTTTTGGTAATTGAGATCACTTTACTCAAACTAAGCAAAAGAAAACTGGAATCCAGAAAAGCAGCCCACCGTTATAAAGATGTGAGCTCCACAGAGTGCTTTACCAGTGTGTGGGCCTCCTTAATGAGCAAAATCCAGCATGTTTGCAGTCCCATTAAGTCCAGAGGATTCTTGGGTATCCCAGATTGCTACATGCTTGTTGTTTCTCAAGTTGAAAAGGTCCAGGTGAACTACTGGGTCCAGCTGGGTTAACTAAAAGCAGCATACAATCTGTCCACATGTGCCATGCTCTAATCAGTTACGGGGCATCCCGACATCCTGTCCAAGTGATTTTTTCTCACTTCTTGCAGGTTATCTTGCTCTTGATCCAAAGGCACAGGTGAATGTACAAACTCTGCACAACTTAGGGAGATAAACTAAGACAACATTCCTCAATATCTGCCTCACGATGAAGTTTCTGCATGCACTTAACATGAGCCAATTAACACACTTTAAACTAACAAGGTGAGCTTAGCTCTAAAAGGAACAAGGTGACTTTATAAGACCTTAACAGCTTTTGTTTGTTTTTCTGTAATAATCTAAATATACTCAAACATTGACGCTGCCTATCAACCAAATCATCACCTGATGTCCTGGGGGGAGGGGTCCCTTAGGATTTCTGGTCATAAATATTGAACTTATTCTTGGGCTCCACTCAGATTGGAGGGAGAAAAAAAA